TGGAATTTTTTCTCCGTGTAGTTACCTATATTCAAAGGTGAACCTTTCAAAGCAACCGCAGTTACTATCTTTGCCATCAAGTAGCCACAGCGTGTGCCATGCATCTAAAATAAATAAAAATTTTAAAAGAAATTATCCAAAGCATTTCCTGTCCACTTTCTTGGAAGTCACTTCTATTGCTTTTGTTCAGTGAGACATATTTTATTCGCGTCCTCTCGACATTATTTATTTTAATCATTTTTTTCATAGATAAATGTCACCTTTATTTGTTGTACTTTTTTTCTGTTTTGTATGAATGAATCGAAATCTCTTGAATACTCTTGTAGCTAACACAAAAGCCAGCCCCCCTACGGCGCCATCTCGATATGTATCAATGACAAGGTTACATTTTTCTGCCCTCCTTCTAAAAGTCGTAAGTTAAGAAGACATCCCTATAAGAAATCAATCGGGCGTAGCGAACCAAGTCGAAGAGATGAGTATACATCATGACAATTTCAGGAGCGTAAAACTCATCACTTCCGGAATTCGATCTTCAATAAAAAAAAAAATAGTGTGAATTTTAACATTCAATCGGAAAATTACCATGAAAATTCTTTTTCTTCTATTTTTTAAGAAAAAGATCTGTTGATTTTTGTTGTAGAACCAGACAATATTTATTTAAATATTTACTCCAAAAATCTTAATCGATATTCAGCAGGATGCGATGTTAGTCTCCCCCTCCCTCACTAACTTGACTACATATTTAATAATATCGATAGTATAGTCGCTCTCGGGGTGGTTTAACACACACGAGAGTAAGGGAAACCAATAGTACATACCGGTTGCACGCGAGGGTTGTTATGTCGGCTGTGGCAAAAATTTCAGACAATAATTCATGCACAAATTTTATGCTAAAAATTGTCCAGGTAATTTAATAGTTTGAAGAATTGATTTCAGATATATTTTCAAAATATTCTCATGGCTGATTTTCCTGCTGTATGAATTATTCAATGCACTTGATACTGGTAAATATGTGCAACGGATACAATATATTATGTAAAATACATCTATGTAAAATTGCACCTAAAGCCATGCTTTATAAAATAATTAATCAAACCCTAGTCATGGTAATAACAATAACATGAACTGATGAAGTTGTTAAAAAAAAGCCTAGACATTAAGGAATAGTTATGAACTTAATTATTAATTTGGAACATTCTATTAAATTTCAATTATTGACTAAATGTCATAAGCAAGGATAGTTACACTCAAGTATTCAAATTAATTAGCAGGTAAAATGGAGATCATAAATTATACAACTTTGAGTTCAGAAGAACAATTAGTTGACAAATGATTTTTTTTCTGTTACGAATATTGTGAGAAATTCAAATAAGCTACAATTGGAAATAATTTATCATCCAATATAAATAAAAAAGAAAAAAATTTAGCTAGAATGCTTATAAGTATAATCACGTAATCATGCATACAATGGAAGGAAAGTTTTTTTTGTAAAAGTTGATTTAATCTGAAAAGCAAATGGTAAAACATCTACAACGAATCTAGTAAAAAGTCTACCATCACAGTCGACATGTTCCTGACTACCACGTGCTAACAAGTCCAACAGAAGCTGAATAGATTAGAGGTAACTTTGGTGAATTATTAGCGAGCTGAAGAAACTTTCTTTGCTGCAATAAATGAATTCTTCTCAACGATTATGATAAAAAAAAATTATACCTATTCTTTATGTAAACAAGTATGATCTTCAAACTCAAATAATAATTCTTATGATGATATTCCATATTAATTTATTCTTCTGATATTCTTTTTTTAAAATGTTAACAATTTTAGTGATTACAATTCTTTTGAGGAAAAATAAATGAACTCAAGTGTAGAGGGGTTAGAGGATTAAAAGTGCAAAGGGAGCAGCGACGATGAAGTTGAGGGTGAGAAAGGACTAAGAGGTTTATGTCTGTCTGTGTAACTCTAGAGAATAAATGACTGGGTAGAAGTTTGCACGTATTATGGTACTACATACTAACAGAAAGGACAGAAGACTTGTATAGTTTGCACGCTATCCGCTCATTTCCACATCTGACCGCTCATCAGAACAAACTCAGCTATAATTTGACAATAGATTACTTGTTTATTTTAAGGTAGATTTTTTTTTATCTAGAATTGTTCCTGTAATTGTATATTCAACTGAATGTATGATATTTTATTTTTAATTAAAGCAATTGTTGTGAATACCACTGAAAAATTACATTTAATATTAAATCATGATTACATTAAACATGCACTTATTTCATTCAATTCTATGCAAAAATGTTTCCTGTAGAAATTCACATTTTTTGTGATCTAATTTTTTTAAACTTTTTCTTCTATTTAAAATAAAATCATGACATATATGAAAAATGTAAAAAAATCTGGATCATGAGTTAACCAGGACAACTGCTGGGTTAGAGAATAGTTTATCCCTTGAGTTGCAGTGAAAGAAAAAATACATAAAACATAGCAAGAATAAAAATTTGAGTGGTTATCTTGGGTTACTTTATTTTGAAATAACCCAGTTATTCTGATGCCAATAGAAGCACGCCAAGTATGTGAAGCACCTGTAGTAAGGCTGGTAAAAGAGTGAGGAAGTGAACAAGTTTCCAGAGACAAAGACTTAGAGTAGGGAAATTGCTGTTGAACTATTCCTCTCTCCATACCAAGACAAAAAATTCTGCTATTCATTATTGATAATTCACCAAAGTAAGCACATAAAACTAGATAAGATCAAATAAAATATGGATATGAAAGAAGACTTCACTAACAATCATTTTATTGAGTATGACATTGACCACAACTTTCTTCCAATACTCAGAAGTTCTATGAATTTTTCAGATGATCGTAGACCAAGTTATGTGACATTGCTGATAACATAAATATTGATGCAAATGGTCGGTTTTCAGCAGCATTGGAATGCCTGCGGTTCATCAAAATATACAGTAAAGCAAAACAAAGACTGCACTAACTCGCTGGATGCTAACAAATTTGAGCCAATACCCTAGCCACCAAGACCACGATGTGGTCAATAAACCGGAGAAACAGACATCTCCAATTTCCTCCAGACACACAATGTTCGGTCCAGTTATTTCTTTTTCCATAAATCAAATAACTTCAATTACTGAAATATTTCGATCTACTTTTACCTAATTAATTATTTCCAGCTTCTTAATGAGCTTTTTAAATGAATATTTTACATACATGTGTACTTTATACTGCTTTCAAGTTATTATTGATCTCCAATGCTCTACATTTTTTCATATTCTTATTCTCAATAATTAATAACTTTCAAACAATTACGACACTTTGGTGGATTATTATTTAATGAAAAATATATTGGCATTGCAAATAAATTACAAGTTGACAAGATGTTGATTGATCAAATATTTATTTAATCATGAACTCGTTAGTGAGATAGGTTTGATAAAGAACCTAGGGCAAGATGAAGTATCTTCAGAGATAGCATACTTACAAACTCAGTTAAAATGTTTATTTTTTGCTAAAATATAAAAATAATTTTAACAAGATAAAAGATTTAATCATTATTTCTGAAAAGCTTCAGTACATACTAGGTTAAATAATACATTGTGAATATTTTAACAACTTCCAGATTATATGTGATGCAATATTCATAAAAAATAATATAACAGATACATGATCCAAATATAAGGATAAAACATAACATCATTTATTTTAAAAATTTTCTCAATACCTGTCATGCCCGTTGGCTATTTTATTTATTTTTTAATGAATTTTATTTTTTCAAAGAACAACTAGTTAAAAATACAATTTGACTGGGTATTATTTTGAACAATTGTTTGGAAAAGTCAAAGAAACCATCACGAAAATTAAATCACAGGAATAGGTTTTGATATTGTAGTTCAAGGATAAACAAAAATTCATAACTGAATTTCCTACGTCAATCATTAGATATTGACAAGAAAATTCAATACTGGTTTTTTATTTGAAAAAAATTGAACAAAACACCAATCAAAATAATCTAGATGAAAGGTTTTCATTTTATTTCAAAAAAAAATTTTAAATCTTAAAAAAAAATCATATAAATAAAGATTAACCATTGCTAATTCAATTAGCACAAAATAAATACAGACATTATCGATAATTGGCTTTTAATCACACATCAGAAATGAGATAGGACAACAAATGAAGTCCAAAATGGAATAAAAAACTTTAAATGAAAAATCCAATAACATAACGACGATAATGAGGAGGATTGAACAAACATAAAAAAAAAGTGTAGACGCGGAATGAAATTATTCATGAGTTAAACGAGTGATGTAGAACAGGTCCAGATACAAAAAAAAGTCGATCAATCGGTATGTTTGAATAACTATAGGGATATAACAGCCGTGAGTTGATTGTCATTTATTTGACCAGTTTATTGATTCATTTTTTTATTTTTTTTATTTTTTTATACGTGTTATGTTTATGATAAAGCAAGTGTTTGATATTTTGTAAATGATGAGTTAAATTACGCAATTCATTATCAGCTAATATAATGTCAATAATTCATTTGTTATTGAGTTTCATAGAAGAATACTTTGTTTTGAATATAACATGGTGGTACGCAGAAGAATTGGAGTTGGAGAATTCGCGGAAATTCAAGCTCTAACGAAAAGCAAAAATTTCAAAAGGATCAAGTGTATATAGCAAGTTATTGTATTGTTATGATTGTGGATAAATATTCATACATCGTAGATCGTGATATAGAGAATTTGCTATGAGATTTAGTTAAATCCAATATTATGACTATATATTTTATACAAATACAATCAGTTGATTGGGACTGGGATTTTAATAAGCACACATAAATAGATGAACATAATTTGCCATTTTTGAATATGATAAGCTTGCTTAATCAACAATTCAAATAGTCGTAAATTTATAATTTATCATAAAGCATCTAAATTGAAGTTAAAAAAAAATTTTACATTATAATAAATAGTTTTACTTACAAATTTGTCGGCATTCTCGTTTCGATTTTTTTAACATTTTCATCAAGTAATTTTGTTTCCTTTGGCTTATCTCCAAAAAGGTTTTCTTCTCCCTTAATAGAAAATTAACTAAGTTACTTTTATTTTAAAATTTCACTGTAATTCAACAAAAACTTTCTTCTCCGAAATTTGAATTCAATTGACGACAAAAAACATTGTAAAAATGCCTAGCATTTATTGAGGTTATAAAAAAAAAAACTTTTCAAACACTTTGAATAAACTTGGAAAACATTATGAAATTTTTTAGGTATATTGACATTTATATTTTATGATGATTTTTTTTAAGTTTTTAGTTGGTTTAACCGGTTTATTTCGAAAACTACATGAAGTAAATATTATACGTCCAATAGACGCGCGCGTCGCGACAACACTGGGGTTGGAGAGACACCCTACTCTGAGCAGACCAGCACAGAGAACACCCCGCTCCAACGGGAATAAATGGGGGCGTAAACTGTATATGGATAAGGACTGCCGAAAAAGAGGGTGATTTTCAATCGAAAAATAAACTATGTAGAGTATCTATCCGAACTGTCTGTCATTTTTAAGCTTATTCATTTTAATTTATCACTAAAATTATATAAATCAACATTCTAGCAAAAATTTTATCAAAAACTTCTCATTCAATAATTGCGAACGGTAATAACTTTAATCAATAAAAAGAAAAGATTACAAGGATTGTCATCTGCAATTAAAAGACTCAATTATGTTAATTAGGAACGTAATTAGTTCTCTAATTTCAAGATAAGAGAAAAAAGCTCGATTAAAATGACGAGCACCAAATTTTAATAATGTTGATAATGCAGCGACCATTGCATGTAAATGTTGGTATTATAGAAATTTGTTGGTAAATTGATTTAGCATTGGGTAATTTATCTACTGATGTTTTTATTGTCTGCTGATAATGAGGATTCATTAAATTTGGAAAAAACTCCAAAAGTTTATCCTTATTTATTTGAGTATTGGATTAATTTCATTCATAGCTGGAGAAAAATGATGACTCCGATTCATTAAGGATATATTGTTGGAAAATTTGCACTTGAAAAGATATAACAGAACTGAATTTGTTAAAATGCATTGAACAAGATGTATTTACAAAATCAATTGTTAAAAATTGGTAACAATAAAACTGCCTAGATTGTTATAAAATACAATTAAAAATCTCTTTTTTACATTTTTAATAGTAAATTAATTGTAATTAAATTATATTAAAATCATTTAACTGTAAATGGTTAAATATTTTTTCGTGTGCAAACCACACAGCGTAAAATTTTACTTCTATCTTATCATTCAATGATTATTTCATAATATTATGTTTATTAGTATGTATTTGACTTTGAAATACATATTTCAGTTGTTATCACAGACTTCACATAGCACCCCTACACTAATAACATACTTTTCATCGATACTATTATTAATATTCTCTACAGTATTATCTTCATATCTATTGAAATGGTTACAATGAGCTATTGTTATATTCGAATTGTATACGAATCCTTCTAGTATCTATCTCAATAAATGCATTCAACTTTTTTAGAACTTGATTCCAATAACGATTCTTGAATTAAAAAGTGATTAAAAATTGACCAGGGTTCAATGACTGACTGCCCTAAATACTACCATTTCAACTGGTCATTTTAGACTTACAGTAATATATAATTTGGCTAATAATCTCAGAGATCGGTATCAATCATAGCTGCATCAATGACGCATTCTTAAGTTAAATACCTTCAAAATTATTTCAATTAACTTAATTAAAATATTTGTGCGATCTTAAATATTCTAGATGCGATATAATACCTGGAATTATTGTCAAATTCTATACACTGTCTCAAATAAAATACGTTAAAAATATAACTTCTAATTGGAACCTTAGTCGATTTCTCAATAAAAAATTACAATTTGGCAGTTTGGTTGTGTAATTAAATAATTATCACACAATATTAATTATATTCACGTACGGTGGTTTGATAGCATTGATCCGTAACCTTTTACTTTGGAGTGATATGTAATTAACTTACTATATACAGACAACGTTGCCACAGATTTCGTCACATTTAACGGATGAAGAATCATTTGATTGCGATAAAGACCCGTAGGGTCTTTTCCGACAGCAGCAAACTCTATCGAGCAACTTATTCCAAGTTGGATCATCTGGTTCCTGGCTAAAAACACCACTGGATGCTTCGTCAGTGCAAACTGATATAAAAGCTTGAAGATCACTCTTTGGAAAACCGTCACGGTAATATAATTTAATAGTGTCGTAAGCATCCATGATTATGGAAATGAAGAGACTCAGCACGACGTAAATAAAAAGAGAAAGAAATGAATAGAGATAAATACGACAGTACCACCACAGTATTTGGGACTTGAATGATGCCATGGAAAATGTGGCGTATAATTCATCGCCATTGATAAGAGCGAATAGACACTCAGATGTTGTCGCTAATGACCGGAACTTCATATGATAAGGCCCGAAAATTAGCCATCCACAGAATGTGAATCCGGCATAGATGAGAATGGCACAAATTAAAAATCTCACTACTTTTGGTGCTGCTTTTTTCAGTGTAAGAATTACTACGTTGTACGTTTTAAAGAATCCAAGATACCTGAGTACTCCAAACCAAACTAGAAGGTTTCCTGTACCCAAGAAAATACTGCATATATTCCAATGATCACTATCAAACGATTTCCTTTCGATTTGTTCCTTAATTGCTGATCCCATTATTATTAGAAGGTCATTGATGATTATCATGATATACCAGAAGTTGAGAAACTCTAATCGACCCTCAAGACTTAGATTTGTTCCATATGTTCTTTTGAAGAAATTTATCGTTTCAAATTTTAAGAGTTGGGCTCTGTATATCGATCGTGAACATAGAATTAAAGAGATTCCACAAATGAGTATGACAAATAGATTCAATATAGTCCTGAGAGCTGAATCGATTTGATTATCTGTTATATACTGTATATCACCTTTACACACTAATCTTTTTGGTTCAGCATCAAGTGATAGTAACATTTGTCCATCAAAATCACTGTTGTCGAAGATTATTTTAATGTTAAATTGATAACAATCAGGAGGCGTTATTGGACCAGCTGCTTTTAAGTTGACTGTTTTTACAGCAAACTTGAGATGTGCTTTAACTAAAGCTGAGAAATTTATTCGAATATTTTTCTCTTCTAGTAATTTCTTGGAATGAATTCCATCACGAAATTCGCCACCAAACGTGTGATTTATATTGATGCATGTACGTTCGACTTTGTTATTAAAGATATAACTTTCATTAAATCCAAAAATAATACCTTCTTTGTATTGATATAAACATAAAACCACTGGACCCACTGAATTGTCTTCAGCTGTGTAGGAATATGATCCAATTGCATTACTGAGATTGTAATATCCTTGTAGAGCATAATCTATTGTTTCATAAAAATCATCTTGTCTATAAAGAGCAAAAGGTCCATGAGCTGGCGGGTAGGCTGGTACCTATAAATTTAATTTTGAATGTATTATTGTTTTATTATCAATTCAGTAGATGATTAAAAATCATGAAAAATACAAAAAAATTTTAACAATACCGAGAATAACCATGAACTTATTATTTTATCTTTTACATTGAATTTTTAAAAATATTTTTACGATTCTGTTTAAGCTATGAGTCATGGTCAATTTTAGTATAAAACAAAAATGTTAAGCAAAGATAATAAAATCTGCAAATCATAGCAAACTGTGTCCTATTCAATGATTATTATCAAAGTTTTCAGAATTAAAAATATTTGAATCAACAATCTTCTTAACAAATAAACTCAAGTAGCGCTTACGTAAGCGATATAAGTACTTTACCTCTTGATCGGCGTCCCAATCTTTGAGAAAGAGATGAGAGAATGTGATACGGTTGTCCCATGTGTAATTCACGTGAATATAATTATTGTGAGCAAATAAACAAAGCTGAACAGTAACTAAAATGATCTTCACCACCTGAACAATAAACTTATATGGGAATCGTTTTCTGGCTTCCCATTTTTCAATGGGATTCATGAAGAAAAATTTCAATTTTCTTCTCATTTTATCTTCAGCATAGGCAATAGCATCATAACGTGGTTGGTTCATGATGCCAGTCCTAGAATCAAAGTCAACAATAAAAATAATTATAACAATAAAATTAGATAAGAATTATCAGTCATGTATAGGAATTTACCTAGCATTAATTGTGTCGTCATTTGTAAGAGGAGAGACTTCATCCTCACATTCTGAACCTTGACTCCAGGTATGCGTTCTCAATGAATTACTTCCTCGAGCACGATCTTCAATTATTGCGTTAGTGCTTCCTTTATTCTCTATTTTATCCGCCATTTTCGAGAACTTTGTTGATTGAAGTTTGTTAGTTGGTGAAATTTAATACTTGAAACTATCTAAACTGCTTTACTCTCTATCCCGAAGGGTCGAGACTTAATTCCGCGAAAGCTGCGTTACATCCGTGCTCCTAATTAAATATAGAGAGGAATATATTACTAAATCATTAGCACTAATTCTTCATAACAAAGCATGGTGTCAAGAAATGAGAACAGACTGATTTTACGGGTGTCGAAAGTGTGTTAGTGGAACAATGGAAGGTTATGACATTGTATACATGTAATTTGACCGTGTAGTGAGTAATTGTAGTATTTTTTTTACTTACGAACACACTTTGTACGAACAGCTGTGTTTTCTGTAGTTTATTGTAATGCGTTTCAGCCATCGGACTAAATCAGACTGAATTAATTCATTTTACTGCTGTTTGCACATTGCTAGCGCTGTCATGACGTAATTGTTTGAATAGGAGACGACAGATAGCGTTAGTGGACGTTATTTAAATGTGAGAAATATTCCGACATTTACATGTTGACTAATAAACTACTTTTTTCACACTATTTTTGCTTGTTAATAACCGTGAGAAATAATTACAAAGAAAGTAAACTTTCAAAATTATTTTATTATTGTATATTATACACGAAATACATCGACGATAATTTTTATTGTCCAAGGACAAAAACGAAGCTTACATTTAGAAGTGAAATCAACTCACATCATTTGAAAATGACTATTCAATAGATTTTCAATGATTGGATAATCTTAAAATAGGAATTTAATTCAATTTAGTTAAGCACATGTGTTTATATATATTTTTCAAGTAATTGTTTATAAAAGAAAAAAAAAAACAAAAGGATTAAAAAAAATAAAATTCATGAAACAGCTGAGCATTTAAAAATATCAGATTACGTAATTAAACGTTTATTTATAATTCAATTAATTCGACGTATGTAATCTGTTTTACTTCACTAAATGTAAAATAAATTAGTAAGAAAGTCATTAATGATTACAAAAATAGAGAGCATTCTTTAATAAATTACAGGTTAAGTAATACTTTGTGTCAAAAATTTATAACAAATTTAGATATCAGAGAAATTAATAGAATTTATTCGATCATTTTTGGTATGGTCTTTTCTCGAATAATTGTAACTACTGAAGCTTTATTAGATTTGTTGTAAACTCTAGTAGGCTTCTATAAACGAATAGTGAAGACCACCAAGAGCTGTGGAATTTTAGAATTTTTCTAACTCCCAGCGAGGTGAGCACTATTCACAATTTTCGTTAAAGACCATCGAGAAAGTGTGTGAGAGTACGAAATAAAAGGATTTTGTGGCTTCAGTTTTTTTTTTTTTAGTAATACCTGTTTATTATTAGAAAGGTGAGGCTTATCACATATCACTTTTTACGTTTCACATTTGTGCCATTTCATGAACAAAACAATTAAACAACTATTATTTATTAAATATCAAAGGAAAACATTTTGAAAGGATTGCAAAAAGGTTCAGTAAAAAATACATCACAATTCTACTTTCTAATTCAATATTTATTTATTATTTACATTTTTTGTCGTTTCTTCTGTTTTTAATGATTCAATATAAATCATTAATCATCGTTTATTCGTTGTCAACGGTTGATTTTAATTGAAAATTAATATAAAAAATTTATTCAGTGTAAAAAATTAATTGTAATTTCATACGTGATTTTATGAGTGAAATTTGTGGATTTAATATATTCAGTATTGAAGAGGTCGATCTCTCTACAGGTAAGCATAATAATTTTCTAAAATTTATTATAAAAACTCACAACAATAGCTCAGGGTGAGTATATCCACACGATTATTAAAGATGTAGGACAGAAGAAATTTACGGAACGAGCATTTTTAGGTATTCCTTTAGACTTATAATCCAAACGAATATGTTGTTCATGGAATAATATCATACTTTACATTGTACAACATAAGAATATCAACCAAAAACACTCAAGAGGAAAAATTATAAAGTTATCGTGTTGCTTTTATTTATGTACTTTAAAATGAAGAGGCTCTCAATTTATTTAATTACCAAGCTAATTAATTTATTCATTAATAGATATCATTAAAAATCTTTATCTAGGTAGAAAATTAAAATTCTCTTACATAAGTTGACACAACCTAGGTAAACAAATAATATCTTATCAATAAATTATAAAAAATGTATTTTATAAAATTTATTTTATTAGATAACTAATTTATAAATTCCTGCAACATTATGATATGTTCATTAGAGTCTGACAGTTTGATGATTAAAGTTTATGTTAACATAATTGACGTAAAATAAATTAGAATGTCATCCTTTTTATATTTTCAAATCTTCTTAACTTTTCTCTGCTTCAGTGGAACCATTGGAGATGAAGAGCCTGTTCGTCGCACTAATATTCCAATAGGCAAGGGAAATTAATTTTTTAAATTTCAAATAAAATGTTAATATTACATCTATCAGTCAGTTGCATATTTAAAATATATATTCATGAGTTTTATATTTTATTTAAAAAATTATTGATCATACTTTACAGCTCTCCACAATTCATCAAAGCCATCAATGTGGACTAGGATCCCAGTGGGCTATGAAATAACACCTGGTATTGGTGCACTTAAGATCAATCAACGTCGTGTATCATGGAACCAAGCACGTAATTTGTGTATTCAAGAAGGAGGTAATCAATAATAGAATAAATGTCTCAATTAGTTGTATTAATGCTGATGTTAATAAAAAATTGTTGCAGCACATTTGGCAGTAATTAATTCCACTGCTGAGGCAAGAATCATAGTGCAAATGGCTTATGAATTGGGTGTCTTTGGTAATATATGGATAGGAATCCATGATATTTTTGAAGAGAATGATTGGGCGACAATTCATGATCAACCTTTGTCAAATGTTGGTTGGCTTAAGTGGGCAGCTGGACAGCCAGATAACTATTATCCTGGTCAAAATTGTGGTTCACTAACAGCAAGAGGAGTTTACGATGATTCTTGCAGAATCTTATTTCCATTTGTCTGTAAAATATTACTGCCTGATAGCTTGTGATTTCACTATATAAATGTTGATCAATGTTGATATACCTGGTACATTATTCAAATAAATATTCTTTATGATGCTGTGAAATTAATTTTTTTCTTCATAAGCCCCAGCTGGTCTAGACCAGAAGAAAATGTTGATACTTTCAAGTTTGAAAATTTTCTCAGTATTTTATGTAGCAAGTGAAACAGTAGGACAAGAAGAACTGGATTTTGAAGAAGCTAATTCTTCATCAGGTAAGCAAGATTAATTTATAAAATTAGCCATAAATTGTTGAAATAGTTTATGGTAAGAACTTGTGTATGTACTTAATTATGAGAGGTTTATACCAGCAATGCTAATAATACTATACTTTACATAGTACAGCTACAAAATTAAAACCACAATCGGATTTTTCAAGAATCCCAGCAGGCAATGAAATAATTCCTGGCATTGGTGTTCTTAAGATTAATAAGCAACGTGTAACTTGAAATCAAGCACAAAATTTATACTCTCAGAAAGGAGGTAGTTAATTCTTGAGTTAATTTTGTAATTAGTTCATTCGTTATTTAATGATAAAACATCTTTTCAGGTCATTTCGCTGCTATTAAAGTCGATTGCTGAGGATTCTTTTGCAAGAAGCTTGGGAAATGAATATACTAAGATTGTTGTGGAATGTTATATTAATAGATACAAAGAAACATAAATTATAAGATTATATTAAATAGGAATAAATAAATATTATATTCAATATACCTAGTTAATTTAATTTTTCACTGGATAGACAAGTCTAATTGTGATCTTTAATTCCCATGACGCTTTTGCTCTAGAAAAAATTTAATAAATCATAGATAGTTTCTTTTATTTTTAATATATAAACTACGTGACATCAGGTAATCCTTGATACAGCACAGAAGAACAAACATCTGGGAAACTTTGTTGTTTTGAGAAAAAAAAAAAATACGATCACTAATAAAAATGATTGAATTTGATAAAATAATTAATAAAAAAAATAAAAAACACATGAGAATAATAATTAGTTATATGTAAAATAAAAAATAAAATATTCCATTATATAATTTATAAATTTGTTTACTTTATTAAGAAAATTTTAATCCACAAACAATTTTTTTTTTTTTATTAAAATAAATTTTGGATCTCTTTGACCCTATATGCAATTAAGGTACTAATTTTTGAGCTTCATTACTCCAAAAATGAATTATTCTTCTAATTAAAGGTCCTCCTCATTAATAGTTAAATAATTAACTAATTAATTAATTTATTAAAATAATAAGGAATAATTTAAGAGAAAGTTTTTTTCCCCATGGACGGTGCGAGGTAATAAAAATCACAAAGGCAGAAATAGGGGTGTGAAAGCTCTATGAATAGTATAGATGATTGAAAAAAAAAATGTCTTTCTTTACTTCTCATATACTTTATCATATATATGTATTTATATACTTAAAATATATACTGTAAACTCTAGACGCAAGTATAATATTGATTTTCCCGGTTACAGGCGCAAGCGCTACGTCGATTTAACTTGCGTCAGGGGGGTGCGGTTGTTACCATGGATCCCAGTGTACTCGCCAACATGGATAAAGACGCACTGAAGAAGCAGATCGAGAACATGAAGTATCAAGCTACTATGGAACGGTGGCCCTTGTCAAAAAGCATTGCAGCGTAAGTTCACAGGCCATCTCAAATTTCTTCTGTAGTATCGTCATATCATTTTCTTTTACCTTTGTTTTTTTTCTTATCGTTTTTCATTGTCTTTCGATTGAAAAAATCTCAAGATTATCTCACCTCCAACAGTATCTTTATGTTCACTCTTTCCAAGAATGTACAACAAGATAATAAACCTTTTTTTGTTGCTTGCTTTGCTTTCGTTAAACTTCCTGTTTGTGGTTAGACATGAATTTTAAAATAATCTGTCAAAAAATGATTTTATAATATATTATGCATAAGTGATAATTATTCATGTGATTAGCCAATATTGTGCATAATTGACCAAGGTGGGAGTAGAAATAAGTGAAAAAGAGACCTCGATAGTGTGTAGTGATTGGAATAAAAATAATTACGCTCGAGAAAATCCTTGACTTCGAAGCGAGTCATAATTATCAGAAAATGTATCAACTGGAGCTTGTCGAGTAGAAGGGAGAATAGTGAAAAGTACTTGGACGTGGGTTAGACTGTTCGGAAAGTAGCTGGCGCGCTTGTTCCTCATTTGCGTTGACAGTCAAGGCTGAATTATCCTCTAAATTCACACTCACAACCTACAAGATCTCCTTGGAAGATTCCTTCTCTGTACACCAAGCCATCCATCTCCTTATCTCTCAACACTGTCTCAAGTCATACCTATTATTGTTGTTATTCTTATTATTATGATAAACCGTATGACAGAAAATCATTATCTAGATCTTAGATATCCAGCTAATCTTGAATTCAAAGTGATTTCAACTGAGCATCGATATAATTTTATGTATCTAGATCAACAGCTACGTTAGACCATTCACCTATTGTGTGATTCGTTGGAATTAAATTCCATTGAATATCAACATTATCATATTGAACAATCTCCAAATAAGTAAGACCAAGTACTGAAACCTTGGTTTTGTGTCCTTGTGTTTTTACATTGTTTTTTCGAGCCTTGACAAACCCTTCCTGGTTTACAATCTCTTTCAAAATCCCACTGATCCATTGGGATACTCTTACTTGGAGATACTGGGATATATGTCCAGATGGTTGCTAGGACAGACAATGCTCCGATATCAAATCAAGTTGTTTACCGGCTAAATTGTATTATAGGAAAAAAGCCGGTGTTTTGCGGTCGACGAGAGTACAGAGTGAAAGGTTCGTTTATAAGAGTACAGTAAACCGGATCGAAATATTCTTCATCTATATTAATCCCCATTTTATTTCGTGTATGTTCAACTCAACTTTTACTCTGAAAATTTTTATTTCAATCAATACAACGATTTTTACATTTTTTAATGAAATTTCAATTTTCAAGGCAATTTTTTTACTACATTCTACTTGAATGATGACTAATAAATTCATTTTCATTATAAAAAGGTGCATATATGAATAATAATAATAATAATATTTACCTTTCTATTTTATTTTTATCAATATTATGAAGAAAACTTTTCTAAACAAAAAAAAAATATAATTGATGAAATTATTTTAAAAAAAAGAAAATTTCTTTTTTTATTTCTTAGTGGTAATTAATAATTGTTAAATTTAATTAATAAGTTGCCTCCTAAATCATATTTAAAAGTTTTTATGAATAAAAGTTGTTTCATTTTTTTTTGAACAAAATAAGTTTTAATTCTTAATTAGTTAAAAAGTTTTTACAATTCAACTTCTTATTTTTTTAAATTCAGTTCAATAGTAAAACCTCCTTAAAAACAAATAAAAAGAGCCTTTTAAACTTTGATAATTCCAATAATGACTTCAGTATAATCCTTCATTCTTGGCACAGAGTATGCTTTAGATTTATTTTCCTTAAATCTATGCAAGGCTCAAACTCCTTGAATGCAAGCGTTGAGTGCAGTGGCAAACTCCCTTTCACCAGAGTTTCCAGCAGACGGTATATAACGGTGGCAATGAGCAGTTTTACTGCAGCAAGAGAAAGAGAGAAGGAAAAAAGACTGACTCGTTCAACTACACATCAACGATGAAAAATGTATAAAAAAGATAGAAGTCTAGATAGATCAATATTCAACATGACGACTAGCTTGCAGAAGCTGTGAGCATTGATTTTCCTTTTATTCTTTATCATATTATGCACAATTTATTCACAGCTGAATGGTTAGTGAAAATATTTTGAAAGCAAATGCATGATAGGTATTAATTCTTTGATCGTTATATGATGCTTTTAAAGAATATTAATTATTACTCAACCCTCCTCCAACCTTCTTCGCTCTGGCATTGTAGTTATGAAAAAAAAAACTCATTGTTATGAAAATAAACTTGTGCTATTTTCCATTTCCTTGTTTATACTCCACTCAATAATATTTTTTTCTTTATAACTGGATGAAATAAATTTAAAATCAGGATAATTCTTTTATTCCAGAGATGAGTCATCTTTATTGATCTTCATTGTTAATGAATGAATGGAAATGGAATCGAGGATTATATTTTTACCCAATTTTTACTTGAAACCTCTACCTAGTATGTTCCACAGTTAATCCAGAATTGATGAAGTTTAGAAGGGGGCTAAATCGATTTTGTTGTTTATCTAGAAGTTCCGGAAGAGTCAGGAAATTAACTTGTTTAGTTGAAATTTTGTTCTCGGTCAATGTTTTGAATCATTTTTGAAAGTGTCATCAATCATTTTTCTAAGTAGTTAATATTTTTAAGGAAATTGTCAAAAATGTTAATTTTTTTATTAGTCATCAACTTTCTTGTCATTAAAAGTCAAATATCTCTAATAAATCAATGATATTATTTTGATGGTAATTAAATTTCTCATGTCTTCTTTTAATTACATCAATCTAAAGTAAACACCTAACGGTTATTTTTTTTTACTAAGAATCTTAAATATTACTTTACAGTTATCAATATGAAAGTTCTACATTCATTTTAAATATCAAACCAATTATTATAAAATCTTTCAAAACCATGGAAAAGTTTTTTGTTAGTTAAAATGTAACATTCACAGTCACTTAATTTTTTACATAATTTTTTTTTTCATCAAATTAAGAGTTAAGTCTTGACTCCCAGTAACCATTGACTTGACTCGTTGACTTTTTGTCTGAAGTTGATGACTCTAAAGTATTTTTTCTTGTTTCTAAAACACCGGAAAATTATTAAACTCTTCTGAAAAAATTACTCGACACCAAAAAGTGTATAATTTTATTCAACAGCAATCTTGAATATAAAACTGAAATTTTAATTATTTATTTTAACGAGTAAAAACTAAATGAAATGGCATAGACCTTATCATAAAAGCAAATTTTTTCGAAAGCATCATAGTAATTTCACGTTGTCTAGCAATTTTCATTTGAATTCTAAATTAGATTCTTAGTTAAAAACAAAAAGATAGATAATTCTAATTATAATACGAATACAGAATACTTGCAACATTACCATTAGTAGAAGTGAATGCCTTTAGCTTGAGAATGATTTTTTCATAAATTATTTTTAGATCTGTTAAGATAATTTCTCGCGCAGTTGTATTTATAGTAGCACATCGATCTTTTTCAATTGTAAATGAAATAGACGAGGTTCTTGTTAATCCGGAAGATGTAAATTCCCGAGTTTGCTGAACGTCGGAAATAACATGGGAGAGGTGGAATTGTTTTCAGAAAAGGGACAAGAAATAGGAGGGTTTCGCAGGAAGGGATGTTTTCCTAATTAACACAAACGAGGCTACGGAACTTCATCATCACGAGAATTGAACAGATGAATCAATGTCAGTTGTATGCCGTTAGATTTTCAATCTTAGTATGTAGGCTTCTATAATCGTGCAGTTTAGTCTAACGACGAAAGAGTGAAAGCCTTAAGAATTATTAACCTTTGTACTTATTTAAATATTTATCTTTACCTTTCTAATATACTTGAAGCATCTTCTTCTTATTTACGATAATTTTTTCTTACCTTTATCTTCATCTCTGTCCTTTCTTTTACAGAATGCGGGAGTATGTTGAAGACCACGAGAAAAATGATCCACTGATCCACGCGCCTGACAAGAAAAGTAATCCTTGGGCAGAGAAGGGCAAATGTATAATCATGTAAACGAAGGAGTGACAAGAAAAAGGCCAGTAACAACAGGCAAATAAATCTTAAAAACCATTGCAAGCTGCAACACTTAAAAATCATTAACAATCGGCGAACATATGAATGGAAAAAAATGTGAACGACTGAGTGAGAGGTTAAATAAAAAAAATTACATTGGCTGTTAAGAAGTATGATGAACATTCTAATGTTCCAATAATGTTACTCATCATTTTAAGAAAAATAAAAAATATTAACAAGTGGGCCAATTATTCAAGGCTTCGATCTAATGATATTTTTTATTATAATTTAACAATGAAGAACGATTAAACAAATAGGTATTAATGTTTATTATTAAAAAAAAAAATTAACATCTAAAGTGAGAAATCCATTCAATGGCCAATTAATTGTATTTTAATGTGAGATTATTTCGTCGACTTCACCAATCATGTTTATTCATTCCTGAAGTCCTCGAAAATGACCATAAACTCAGCGATCAATCTCAAATATCTCCTGTGTATGAAATGCATTGAAAAATGTTTTATTGACATATTAATATTATAAACTGAAATTGTGTCAATCACATTGTATTACGAATTATTATACATACAATTTATCCACGAATTTTTAATCATTTTATCATCATCTCGATGCGATATTAAATTATTTATTTAAAATTAAATAAAAATACTTATACACATTATGATGATGAATATTTCAATATCTTCATTGTATTATTATTATTACTAATATGTATCGTAGGAACGGAGTTGGTAATATTATATTTGAGCTATTTCTTATGAAAATATACATGTCAAATGGTCTACATTTCAAATAACACAAGATTCTAAATCTTTAAATCCTTTAAATTAGTGCTATTTATCTTTTTTGTTAGCTAGTCAAGCAATATAATTGCATATAGATAACATATCACTGGAAAATTATAAGTCAAAAGTTTCTAGATGAGTTTTAAAATTTTCATCATTTTCAAACAAATATGATTCTGTAAAAAAGTTTGTGCTTTGGAGTTTAAAAATGTTCTTTACAATATTTTGTATTACTTTATTCAACTGCAAAGTCAAAGGAGATTAAAAAACTAATCTTTCAATATTTTTTTTTTTGTTAAATTCAAAGTCTTCCCTAGACTTAAACAAAGATTCTTTGATGAATTCAAATATAACATTCTTTTCAAATGCTTTTTAAAAAATTGTTGTACTGTTTTTTTTTTTTTCTTTTTTTTGACTGAATTAATTGTAGTTAATGTAAAAAAAAGCTGCTTTTAATTTTAGGCTTTATAATGTATTTAAAAATATCATGAAACATTTTATTCCTTTTCAACTAAAGCTTTTTTTCAAATGAGTGTATTTAAAGTGGTAAATGCTAAAAGATATTCCAGTGTATATTCAATTATGTAGCTGCTTAATGCAATTTACTGCCGATTAAGTGAAGAATAATGTACTGCTGTGTTAACAAACATGCAGTATAAGGTTTTTGATAATTTCTTATTCAATTTAATATCTATTGTTGCATTTTAATTTATCACGTTCATAATTAAACACTGAATAATAAATTTAAAGTCAAATGAATACTTTATCATTTAATTATCAAATTAACTTGACAAGTCAATAACAATTAACGTTGCATTTAATAATTCAAACATTGCTTGCTTTCCAACAATTAGCTAATAAACTCCTTAGAACTCCAACAAGATTAATCGAAAAAAAATCATTACTCCAAAATTCTTCAAATGGTAGATCATTGAATAAATAAAATTGTATATTATTCATCAAACAAATGTACTCAATAAGTGATTGTATGATTTTTCAATCCAGATTTTTAAACAATAAAAACATTTTATAAGCATACTAATAGCTACTGATTATTATTCAAACCACAAAAAGCTAAAAAATGATGAGAAAGTAATTGATTGGATCAAATTAAAAATCTGGATTAGAATTAGAGCTGAAAAAGGATCGCTTGTTTTCTCTCGAAACAATCGTATTAATAAGATCACTGAAGGATCAGTCTCCAAGCAGGTTACTGATTGTAAAGGAAAGGAAATCAACGGGATTATTAGATCGTCTTATAGATTGGCGAACTGTGACGTATTTGAACAGGTAAGTGTTTTGGTAAGACGTTTTTTTTTTCTAGTCAGTTGTCTCTGGTCTGGTCGTTGTCACTCGCTCTTTTACCTTGTCGCGTCGTCAAACGCATTTGCAGAGGATTGGCGTTTCACTCTCTCGCGTTCTCATTTAGCTCCATTGGGATTGGATATATAGATATACACACAAGAGTAATCGTCCCGGTGGGGATCGCGACACAGAAACGTAACGGTGTTTGCCACTATAGTTAAAATGAAAGGTGGCTTAATTGTTGTCTATAATATTGCTCTGGCAAGTACTAAATTTGAGAATGATAGTTTCAGTATTTCCTGAACGTCTGTCAGTGTTAGACAACGCCCGAAAGCGAATAAAAACCTATTTGAAAGCAATCGAGATTTTCTAAGTCTCTTATTTTTTAAGTGATAATTATAGTGAGGGACAGAAACATGCGGTGATTTTATTTATTTATTTTTTTTTTTATTTAACAGTTTTAGAGAGTTTTAGTGGTTGATTATTGTGTAACTTTGACAGTTTTTTTTTCTAAACAATCTATTACAAAATAGCATAAGGAAAGTCTTTGTTATTATTTTTGGAGGAAACAAGGCTCAACAACTTGCGTAAAAATGGTGAGTCCAAGTTTGATTTTCAAATAAATTCCAAGTGCGCAGACTCAACGTCAATGAGTTTAAATAACCCGCGCTGAGAATTGGATAAAATCCTACAAACTCTGATATTTTGCATTAGATGTCATGCAAAGTCTAAATTTCATTCAACTTAAATTATTTCAAATAAAATTGTTGATAACTCTTTGAAATATAAAATAATCATTATCGAGATTTCGTAACAAAGTAATATATGATCCAGTTGGTTTTAAGTGAGTAATAAAAAATACAAAAGTCATTTAACAAGAAAAAAAAGAAGGTAAAATGCCTAAAAACTGGTCCAAGACTTTGCGGTTAAATGCTTTCTATCATCTGACTGAACTGGAACTCATTGCTCTCACTTTCATCGTACGATAACCTCGTAATACGTAATTTTGGCAGGTTCACGTGGCACAGTATTTAATATCATGAATATCTGAAAGAAATTTATAGAATAAAGTGTCAAGATCTCATTCGTGGTAACAATAAATGTATAGTAGAATTGGAGAGGGAAAATGGAGCAATGGAATATCGGAAGGCTGGTGAAAGCACATTACCAAGAGCACACATACTTTGTGTAATACATATGTTTTATATTAGTATATTGCCAAATAAATCGAAAATCATGTACATTAAATGTATCTCTTTAAAAAAATCTCCAGAGTTTATGGCATGTTTATTTTTTTACAACCATCAACAAAAGTAGGAAATTTATTTTGGCTTTTATCTCGTGATTTATCAGGTTTATGTCAAAAGTAGTCATTATCTAATTTATTACTTAGAAAATTCTCTACAAAAAAGGTTCTTACATTTTTTTCAACGCAATAAATTGTTTCCGAGAAAAGAAGCCTGAAAGTTGGATTTATGTAATTCAGTGTTGCTGTGCAATTTTTTCTTTGTAAAATGTCTCGAAAACTATTGATCAGGGAGACTAGTACATGGAGTTAGTACCTTTAGAGAATCGTTTGACGAATAAAATAAGCTTCGATTGAACTCTCTACGACTTGTAGTTTACGAGATATTTATTATAAAAGATAAGCGTGTGAAGTAGGTACGCTAAGAAAATAATGCTAAGTGAAATTCTCATTTGACCGGATTTATATAAAACGGAATAAAATAGTACAGGTATGAGATGGTGTGTATAAATTTTTTGCTTTTCTTCTTTTTCACCAGTTCCTTTACAAATTTAGCTTCGACCCATTTCCCCAAGCGATAAGATCACTGTTATTATGGCAATATGGGTGCGCGCGTGTTGTCAAGCCGGGTCTCTTATAGACGAGTAGTCGTAAGTAGAAAAAGATGTGAAGAAAGTGGTTATATCCTATCGTGTCTGAAGAGTCAACGAAGCTTGAGCTCATGATGGTTATGTGAAGACTTGTTTCATGCCTGTTATCTACACACGTATATATTCACTGTTGTCCAGCACATTTCACAAACAACCAAGCCTTTTGTCGTCACTTGAACTCGCAAGCCCCCACCGGAAGTGGTGAAAACGATCAGACGCGTGCTTTGCATCTATAATTCTTTATAGCTATGACATCTTGTTCTGTGAAGGAAATTCGTTTTCGTTTCTCTACACACCGGATGAAAATGTCCATTCTATCCAATGACAAACAGTTTTTTTGCCAATAAATCACATTTCCACCGAGAAAATTGACCGCAGAAAATTCTCTTTCTCCTCTTTCTGTCTTTACTTTAGAGCTCGGAAACACTCTTTCATTATTGATGAAAACTTTAACTATTTTTGATGTTATTTAAATTATTTTTTATTATTCTATCAATATTGAAGTAGTCGAAGTTGAAGTGACGAGAGAAATTCAAATCAATTGAACACATCTTTTTGATGTTTAATTTTTTTTTAGTCAAGTACATTTCTCTTATCAAAATATGTTACATAAATTACTTTGTGACAAATTCAATCATGTTTTTTTTTTACTTTAAAAAAATTTACTAAATGAGATTTTATGTAATATTTACATTTATCAGTCACTTTGTTATTGATTTTAAATATTTATAAATTTTACTCATCAATAAAAAATAAAATTAATTCTCTCAATAAAGAAATAAACTCCTGCTGATTTTATTTTAATAATCTTTATGTCTCGTAATCTGTTAATTTTTTAGTATTAATATTTATTGGAAATTTATTATAAATAAAAATAAAAGGCAACCATAAAAACTCTACAGAGAAATATTTTAGTATCAGATATTTGCAATCTATTATTGTCAGGAATTTTAATAAACTTCTCTAGAATGCATTTGAATAATCTCAATATTTATTGAAGAGTAAATAAAGAATCTAAGCATAAAGAAGGATAAAGAGAACAACCGTAAAAATTTTCTCTATCATTTTTTTAATAATCAATCGGGTTTTATTAATTCAATTAATTACGCTCATTTAGATGTCTTAAAGATGAAGAAATGTTTTGCTTTTTACAATATTACAAAATAAACATTAAATTATTATTTAGTAATCAATAAACTCTTACTGAATTCCAATAATTAACAGCAACTTCAACATTTCTCGATTGGTATAATTAAGTAATCGCCAGTAGTACCTTAGATTGTTAAGAATAAATGAATGTATCGTCTTTACAACAATTTTCAATAGATGATGCAATTCAAATCGTGAAGAGAATTTTAATCGGTTTTTGAGCTTTGTCTTTGATGGTCTTTAAAGTCTATTGTAATTTAACATTTAATTATCTGCAATAATGTACAAAGTGAAATGAAATACTAGTAACTTGACAAGAAAGTTCTTCTTAATAAGTATCGAGACTTATGAAGGAGAAAAAGCAAGATGTTAAATCAGTCACGATATTAAACTATAACCAGCAAAAAAATCATTCCTTGAGATTGATTTTTGACATTAACGCATTCACTATATTTTACTCTTACTCAGTCGTAAAGTGTGTGCCACTTTATCAGAGGCCTTTAGTTATCCTCTCGACTGGTCAACAGGTTGATACCAACTTGAAACAGTCACCTGCCAGCTTGCCTACCTTAACCCACCATGTGAGCTTATATAAGTCCAGAAATATCACCGTCTCTTCATGCCACTTGCAACAAAGCCGCCTTTTTGTACTCAAGCAATTTATTGAGACAAACCACTTTACGATTGTAATTACTTACATTCTACTTATCACCACTTTTCAATCTAATATAATTTGGAATTTGCTGAACAAGATTTACTGTTTCGTGAAATATCTTGAAGATTCCAATGCCTTCCTGGATCATTATCAGATAATTTAATTAACAAATTAATCAGTTGACTTGTGAATTACCAAGAGCATTTACAACTTTATCTTATTTTATTATCGATTCTTTTTAAAAACATTATAATAATTTCCATTAGTGAGAAACTTGTTGAACAGAGTGAAACTATTTTCTACTAATATATTTCAATAAATTAGATTAAATTTTTTTTTATCAAGATTGCATTAAATGATTTAATTTCACCATATGTAAAATCATAAAATAATAAAATCAACTACACAGCTGTTATTTATATCAGATAATTAATGCATCAATACTTTTTACATCGAAACTATCTTTCAGAACATTAAAAATTCATTTTTAAATCTCCTTGAAATATAGATAGACTATTCAATTGTCAAATGTATAATTGACCATCACTGACATTTTTATTTTTAATTAAATGAGTTATTTTACATATAGACATTAACATGAAATATCATCTTAACTGGATGATAAAAATTTTATTTCTCTAAAAGATCCTTTCGCTATAAATTTTTTTTTTCAGAGGATATTTTCGTCATAATAAAAATATATTCTCATACGAAAGAACAAGAGTCACTTGATACCAATGTCAAAGAACGGCATCAGTATTAAGTATACGGATACTTGGTGTAGATTAGAAAGCGATCTCTCTCTTTCTCTTCCTCTTTCTGTCTCCCTTGAGTATAGTTGATATAATGATTGCAGCAACAAAAAACGAAACATCTGAATATTTAATAAATACATGGCCTTGCTAGGTCATCGAAATAATTAAATCTGTAAGCCATAACGGAAGTGTATGACCTTTAAACAGGTTTATCACCAAATTAACTTGGGGACCTTAAATATTTTCAAAGAACCGCTGATTTAGAGTCTCTTGGACAGGTAACTCGATGAAAAATATTTTTATGACTCCATACACTTACGCATAAGTTTCACCTAGGAGCATAAAAGAAATATTCGAATTTTCTTATGCAAAGCTTGACATAGTAAAAATAAAAAATGCTATATAATCGTAAAAGTAAATTAAAAAAGTGTCTTCTTAAAACTCCAGTCTCTTGATACTGCTCATTTAAAATTCTGCAAGTGATATCGTTCTCGTTTTAGTCAGCCATTTCACTAGAGGTCAAGGTGGACTGAATTATTATCAGTAAATAACAGTAGTGATGGATAATTTATTTATTTTCTTATCATATTTGTAGAATGTATATTAAATGAGAACCAAGGGATTTATGGTATTGTAGAAATGTTAACTCCATGCATTATCTTTTACTTTCTGCATTGAAAACTATTATAACAGAAGCATGCACATTTCCATCAAAAGAAACGAGCCATGAACGAGGTAAACGTAACGTTGGACGATCAAAAGGAAAGCTAAGCTGGAAGCTGCTTATGGTGGGAATGAACTCGTCAACATATACTACACCAACGCTTACGGTACTTTCGAACCAAGCTAAAACCTTTCTTATCGTGTATACATATATCTGTAGGTGTGGTCTGTGTATTATGGCAGTTGATGCGATTCATTGTGGTTTACTTGATAGATTTTCACCGTGAAAATATGCTTTTCAAGTGTCATACGTCAATTTCATATCGAAATGCTGTTATGAAAGAATATTTAATAGAATTCCTTTAAATCTATTTTTATTACATTTTATTCAATATTAGGTAATTAAGTTGTTGACAACAAGAGGAAGTTTATTAGAAAAACTCTTTGTTGAAAAAATAAAAACTACAAAGGAAGCATT